CGGTCTGCTGCACCTTCAACGAACCACTATCCATCTATGCAGCAACAAACTTTGGCGTGCTGCGCGAGTTCCAAAATTCAGAGATCGTACGTGAGATTGTTGTACCCTCCAAGGTGCGTGCGCCACTGACAGATATGTGTCTGTCACGTTCGGATCTCATTATGTTTGTGGGCAATGAATACGGTGACTTATTCAACATACAACTGCCATTCATGGATGCCGGAGGCGCTTCTTGTACGCTATTTCGGTTCTTCACCAGCCAAATCAACAAACTCTTCTTCTCGTATGATGGCACTCTGTTGTTAGTGATCTCAAAAAATGGCACACTAGCGATATGGGCAATGGACAATATCGACGGTAAGGTCGCATCAATGGATACTGATTTGCTGCGCAGTCAGGAAGTGCTAATACCACGCAACATATTACATGAGAAGAACGAGCAAATCACAAACTTGGAAATTCGTTTGCGACAGCAAGCCGAAGAGTTTCAATATCAGCTGAGCCAGAATGAGATCTTTGATGGCCAGCAGCTAGCCGAAGTGCATCGCAGCTATTGTCAGGCACTTGAGGAGCTGAAGAAGAAAAACAATGAGATTGAACAAAGACACACGGAAGAGATGAATCAGATTACATTCCAAATAAATGATCTACGTGATGAGCATAAAAAGCAATTGAATAACTTAGCGGATCAGTATTCGGAACGCATGTTAATTGAATATCAAAAGTTTAGCAATTTACGTGACAGTATGTTGGCGTTACGCGAGAATTATGAAAACAAATTGAAGACTTCCGCAGGCATACTGCAGGACACAGTGGAGGGATTAGAAACAGACTACAAACGGCAGTTGGACGAACGTAAAGAGTTGATACGTGGTCTTATGAAAGAGATGCAGGACAAGAAGATCGAATTCTTCGAATACTGTCGTCGAGTAGAGGAGGAGAATGATCGGAATATGGTGGAGATGCAATTGCAGTATGAAAACAAACTGAACAACGAACAGAATTCAACACAGTTGTGGCGTGGCAAGTCGGGTGTTTTAGAGAAACGATATCAAACATTAAGCAATGACATTGAGAAATTGCTCGAGGAGGTGGATACATTAAAAGAAGAACATAATAAATCACAAAAGAACATCACACGCCTAACGCGTTCTATTGACGACTTGCTTAAAGACATTTCCGACCGTGACTACGCCATTAACGCTAAGGAGAAACGCATACAGGAACTATTACATAAGAATCAGGAATTGGACAAATACAAGCAGGTACTATCACATAAAATCGCCGAACTCAAGGCGCAAATAGAGCCACGCGAATTCCAAATTAATGATAAACGGAAACACATACTCGAAATGGAAAATGAATTGGAGGGTTTGAACCAGAACAATATACAATTGGAGCTACAACTAAAAGAACTGAAGGACAAGTACCTTAGTAACGTGGAAGAGCTGAAAGTAGAGCGGCATCGTTCGCGCGCCGGTAGAGAGTGTATTACTAGCATTTGCAGTGAAATCTATCACGTCGCCGCATTTGTAGATTCACCAAAGCGGTTGCAGGTGAAGGTTAAAGAGTTATTCCAGCGCCATGCAAGTGATGATGAACTTAAAAGACATATCTCATTGGATGCCGAGGTACGTGATGAATTTCAACGGCAACGTGCACAAATTGAACGCATATTGAAAATTCATAAAGATCGTAAACCAACTCAGGACGAGGCGAAAAAATATGAAAAGCTTTTCAAAGAAAATGTGATTCTTCTTAGTGAAGTCGACAAATTACGCGAGGAAAATGCGCAATTGCGCAATCGTTTGAAAAAGGACATAGCAAAACAAAAAACAACAGTGAAACCGAATTCTTAATATTTATAATCCACTTTTGGTATAAATAATTTAGATTTGACAAAAGACAATATTTTCTAGAAAAACTATGTAACAAATTTGTGGTGTTGATAATCCGTACTTGCATACGTGAAATTAAACCGCATTGTTTTTTTTTTGAATCCTTTAATTGTGCCTTCATTTGCTATAATCACTTACACAAAATGTCGAAGTACAATCCGTACAACTATTGTTTTTTAAATTTTCCCAGTCCGGCAAATAACGGTATAAATAACTTAAACTTCTGGTAGCACAATTTAATACATATGTTTCGTTCGCGTATAACAGTTTGAGGAAATCATGATTTATTGTGAACGGCATATCAATAGTAACTAACACAACAGCTGTTTAAAGTTTTTGTTATTATTTTACTTGCATGTAGCAAAAAGTATATACTTTTTGGCCGAGCAGAATAATTCGTTCCTAAAAATAAGTCAAAAATGTTACCCGGTGTTGGAATTTTCGGTACTGGTGCTATTACAAAGGTTCTGGTACCACTACTACGCGAAAAAGGTTTCGATATAAAGGCGATATGGGGACCTTTAAAAGAGGCCGAATCAGTAGCACAGTCACAAAAGATTTCGTTTTTTACAAACAAAATCGATGATGTGCTTCTTCGTAAGGACGTCGACTTGGTGTTTATCGTATGCCAACCTTTTCAGCATGCAGAGATATCAAAAAAAGCTTTAGGTATTGGGAAACATGTTGTTTGCGACCGACCTATGGGGCTACATCAAGCGGACGCTTTGAAAATGGTACATGCATCACAGTACTATCCTCGGCTAATAACACTGGTTAACTATTCACTACGTTTTCTTCCTGCATTTACACATATGAAACGATGTCTACTAGAAGGACTTATAGGGCCTATAAATCAAATTTCTTTGGTGGATATACGCGTACAATTAGGTACACTATTTCCAGAAAAATTTGACTGGATGTGTGATGCAGCAATGGGTGGTGGAGCTTTGAATTTGGTAGGCAGTCATATTATTGATCTGGTAAGCTATCTGTTACCACAACATGCAGTGCGGGTTCATGGCGTCGTGCGTTCATACACAAAAACAACAGCGGCTGTTAATGGTATACGGCAAATTTCAGCCCCGGATTTTTGTACATTCCAAATGGAGTTGGCTGGCGGAGGTGCACTTGTCACTGCCTCCTTGCACAGTCATACGGTACCGGCAAAGTCATTCTCTCAAGAGGTAATGATTTGCGGCAGCAAAGGTCATTTAGTCGTGCGTGGCGGAGACTTGTTTGTATTTAAACATAAAGCTGAACCACCGCAAATGAAGGAAGAAGCGATTTATGTTGATGTTCAAGATTTGCACTTTGCAACCTCTGAGTCCTTGTTACCACGCCCATATATAAAAGGTTTATGTAAAATGGTTGGAGCACTAAAGGAAGCTTTCGCAAACAAAGATGCATCATGGGTAAAGGAACCTGTCCAAGCCGCTGCAACATTTGAAGATGGACTATATGTACAAGCAGTGCTGGATGCCATCCGCAAATCAAGCGAAACAAAATCATGGCAACGCGTTAGAATTACGCCAGAAACACCTTCGAACCATGAACAGATTATGACCTTTGCCCGCATGTCAACGATGTGAAATCTTATAAAACTTTCAACGGATTGCGTATAATCTTTATTTTTACTTGTCGGGCTAAATTCTTTCGTAAAACCCAAAATACCTATAAACATTTATTTACTAGACTGGAGAATGAGTAATTATTAATATACATATGAACATACAATACATTTTACTAGATATCGAATGCCTTTTGAATCTTAAAGTATAAGCTCATCCTATAATTAATTTACTTTACTATCCCTAAAAAGTATTTAACTGTACATTTTTTATTTATTTATAAAACTTTTTATGTATATTTACTAAGTGACTTAGTATTACTTTGACAGAGACATTATGAACTTAAAATCAAAAACACATCGTACAATTAGGATAACTATATTACTTACCCTTTTTGGAAATATGTTCTGTAAAATATTTGTATCTGTATTTGATTTATAAAACTTTTTATTCACATTTAAACTAAGTGACTTAGTATTAATTTAAACAATAAAAGCAAACAAAAAACAACTGTAGACGGTGTTGCCGAATCTAATTGAATACGAAAGTGTAAAGAGATACGTATTTACAGATGTACATTTACGCTTCCACAAGCACTTTTCTATCCTGTTCTGCTAGGTTCTTTCGCTTCTTTTTTGGCTCAGCATCATCAATTTCAGCAGTGACAGTGGCATCTTCAACCGACGTATTGATTTCCGGCTCAGGTAATTCTTCAGCTGGCACCTCAGGTAACAAACTAGTAGCCTCTTCAGCCGCTAATGCATCCAATTCAGCTAATACATTTTCTTCGTCTTCTTCGCTGAGTGCTCCTAATAATATGGCATCTATTTCTTGTTGCTTTTCCACTCCGTCTCTTGTTTCGTCCATAATCTTTTCTATCTCATTAATATCCATTAAATCGTGCACTTTCTTAAGGGCTACATTTCCCTGCTTCAAGCCTTCTATCACTTGCAGTTCTACCTGGGCAAACTCTAAATCAGCAGTCATTTTTTCTAAATTTTCTAATTGCTTATCCGCATTGATAAGTTGTGTTTCTTGAAACTTTTTCTTCCTGAGTAGTAATTTAGCCCGGCTAAAAATTACAATTTTCATTAATACTAAGTTCTTGAGATATTTCATTTGCACTTACTCCCGTCGTCCTGTTTGAAGACATTTTCTGGCTAACTCTCTATCCTTTTCAAGCTGTAATTCAATACGTTTCTGATACTGTTTCAGCTTATCTCGTTGTTGTTTCAATCGCTAAGTCAGGAAACAAAGAAAAATTATTCGATTGTAGTAGCATATTGTCTAAACCTGTCGTGAAGTTACTAATTACCAGCACAGCCTTGTCGTGTTCAGTAACACGGCTTTGCTTTTTACTTTTGGAAAATAGTGAACCCATCGGCAAATAACTTATTCTTTGTTACTCTACTATATAAATTCTAAAAAATATTTCAATATAAATGGCAAAACAAATAAAACTTCATCTTCTTACACTTAATCATTCACAATATGTTTGTACAAGGATGCCAGAAAAAAAAAATTTAATAGAAATAGTCTAAGTTTTTAAGTTCATGATTTGATTGGATTAAATAATATATATACACATTTAAATGTATCATAATTTTTTATTTTTAATGCATATTTATTTTAAAAATAAAAAAAAACGTTATGTATTGTTATGAAAAAATTAAAAAATTAAACTATACATTTACAAAATAATATTGGTGTAGTGGGAAGTTGTGTCCCCATAAGAAAATTTTTAAGTGTTAACAAGATTACATCAAAGTATCAAAAATTTATGCCGTGAAATAAGCGTAAGAAAAGTACAGATCCATAATTATTCGCAACGGATAACTAATAGTAAAAAAAAAAACACCGGCTGTTAAAACTGCACTGCCAAAGTGCATATCAAGTTGTTGTTATGTTGTTAAAAGCTTACCACAGTAATTTACTTTGCGGTCACTTCCCAATGTTGTTGAGACTTTCTCAAGCTTCTATTAACCAATCGCAGTGCTCTAAGATACTACAGTTCAATGGTACATTGTTATAGTTCTAAATATTGTTTGTTTACTTTGAGATTATAATCATTGTTAAGTATATCGACAGGAATCATCACGGGTTAAAGTGCAAGTACGGCAAGGTGTTGTCATTGGTCGAGAAGATCGTTTACCAAATGGTGAACCCTACAATAGGTTTCTGGGTGTACCGTATGCAGTGCCACCACTCGGTGAACTACGATTTAGAGTAATTAAAACATGAAGTAAAATATTCTTACCCGTAACTTGTATCTTGTCCAAATATATTTCAGTCTCCCGTTCCACTGGAATTTTTTGATACACCTATTTTAGATTGTACACGAGAGAAATCGCCTTGTCACCAGCGAGAACCCATCACAGATAATATATTGGGTACAGAGGATTGTCTCCACCTTAATGTATATGCTCCAGCCAAACCTTCCACAACACGTCCGCTTCCAGTTATGGTATGGATACATGGCGGTGGTTTCATATTTGGTTCAAGCAATGGGTTCGTAGGTTTTTAAACTGTAAAATTAATTATATTCTATTCTATTTGGAAATAACTTTCTACGTCATTTCGGTTTACTAGTACTTTACCCCTAAGTTTAATTTCCGAAGATGTTATTGTGGTGACATTAAATTATCGTTTGGGCGCATGGGGATTTTTGTGCCTGCCTGAGGAAGGTATTTGGGGAAATGCTGGCTTAAAGGATCAGGTAAATTCCTCATATATGGAAATAATATTTTCGTGTATCTTATAAATTTGGGCATCGAACTTTATATAGCGTCTGGCTTTGCAATGGGTACACGATAATATTGCGCAATTTAATGGCGATCCTAATAATATTACCTTATTCGGAGAAAGTGCTGGCGCGGCATCAGTTCATTTACACACATTAGCATCCCATGCCCACAAACTATTCCACAAAGCGATTATGCAAAGTGGTTCTGCTAATATGGAGTGGGTATTCCAACGAAATCCAGCGCGAAGAGTTCGTAGGTTCTGCGAATTGCTCGGTTGCAAGTCACGTGACACGCGCGTTATGCTTAACTTTTTACAGTCACATGATAAAGTGACACCACTGAATGTGCTTAAAAACATTTTGCCTGTACTATCGCCAGATGAACGTCGCCGAGGTTTGCCTTTTACCTTTCACCCAGTTGTTGAAGATTCGAGCAGTACAGATACCTTTATTAACACGCCTGTTTTGGAACTTTTACAACGTAAAGACACACGGCCCATGCCAATGCTAATGGGTTACAACTCAGCTGAAGGTGTTCTGATGCTGATAAATGCAGTGCGTAAAATCGAAGAAATAAATAATGACCTGGCCCGTTTTGTGCCACGAAACATACCACTCGCCACTGATCATGCCGAAATTCAATTTCTGGCACAAAAACTGCGCGATTTCTATTTTAACGGTCACAAAATCACATATGACCAATTAGATTGCATGACGAACTTGCTGACAGACTACCACTTTATGGTGGATTTGCAGCTGGCTGTTAAATATCAAGCACAATACAAAACGCGCTCACCTCTCTATTTCTACCGTTATGACTATACAGGTGGTCGGGATCTATTTAAGAGACATTTGCAATTGGAAGATATACCTGGCGCGTGTCATGGTGACGAATTGAATTATCTTTTCCAAACACCAGGTATTAATCCAATGAAATTCGCAGAGAGGGATAGACGCAATATTAAACGTCTTAGTGTAATGTGGACAAACTTTGCGCGCCATGGTAATCCCACTCCAGCAGAAGGTGATATCACAAAAGATTTGGGCTGTGTTTGGAAGCCAATAAACAGCGTAAATAATGAGAAGGAGGACTTCAGCTTGAATTGTATGATTATTGATGAAGAATGTAGAATGGATCGTGATCCAGATAAAGATCGCATGGATTTTTGGAAGGAAATTTATCGAAACTATCCAGCGTTGGATTACTCACGATTCAGTGCTAAGCTGTGAAATGGAAGTAAATATAGGTTTATAAATGGTGTTGTATACTCGAAATTATTTTGTTATCGGATTATCGGATTATTGGGTAATTGATATTATATAGCTTCTAGCTTAAGATAATTTTGATATTAATTGGAATATGTTTTCCTTTTTGTATATATATATGTATGTATATGCATCTTCCCACTTGTAATTAGGATTGGTACATTAAGTATGCTAATGGAATAAAAATTTGTTGGTTGAGAATAAGATTACACGTGTTTATCTTAAATTACAACGCGGATGATGAGAATACAGAGGTATTGCTCTACTAGGTGAGTTTCAATGATAATCAAGTTAATTTAATTATACTTAGCGATCTGATTTGAAACAAGCAATAAACGTCAATTTCGTATGCACCGTAACTATAATAATGTTCTAAGGTGTATTTCTTTTAAAGGGTATTAAAAGCTCTTATCCTAACTTTGGCTATTCAGTTTGTATAGCAGCCATATGCTATAGTGGTCCTACCTGAACAATATCTTCTAATATCCCCTATCATCTGGTTCTTAAGATGTCAAGTAAATGTGACCCAAAGCAATAATTACCTTAAGTTTTATAAAATAAATTTGATGAAGAAATTTGTGCATACATTGTACTTTTAAACGATCATGTACATATATTTTCTAATTAAATATTTATTCAGTTATTTGACTAGTCCATTCGCTTAGAGACTATTTAAAAAAATTCTGTTTGCTTATAAAATATAAATTATCGAAACTTAATTTATTGTTTAGGGAAAATTACCGATGAGACAAATAAACTCGAAATTTTGCTGCCGATGTGTACAACTTATTGTAACGGACGTTTAAAAATCGTCATGTGAAAAGTAATTATGAATTTAAAAAAATGTATGGTATATAACTTACTACTACATTTTTATTTTAATGCCATATATTTTAAATAATTATACATATATACTTTTTAAAATTTAAATTTAATGTGTATCATTCTGTATTTGGCTTTGATTGATTTACTACATGTGATTTTAATTAGAATTTAATTGCAGTAATTCATTAAAAATTATTTTTGGAGTCACCGTGTTTCGAATTTAATCGAATCGAATTGGATTGCATTTATATTTTAAAGCGTATAAACCAAACGCGTACAAAAACCTATATTTTACAACATACACATACACAAATACATATATACATACATATGCAAATTGAAAGTTGCAAAAAATATTATTCACTAATTTCGAGTTTCATTTATCTAATATGCGTACAATTCATACATACATACATTTATACTAGCAACAATTACATTTAATAATATTTGAAATTTTTGTGTTAAATTTTTTGTTGTTGTTGTGATGGCTTATTACGCTAAGTTTTTTTTAGGCATTCTTATGCGCCACCAGGGTCGTGGCTCATATTCACGTACATTTGCGTAAAAGCAAACAAAATTTTGTCGAATCAATGCCGTAGAATTATTCTGATTCTAAAATGCGTTTGTTGAAAAAATCGATTTTTAAAATATACTTAAATTACGCGCAATTTCTAATATTATTATTATATAAACGGTTTTTACATTTTTTTTTCTTTTTTTCAAATCTGTTTTTGGTGTTTGGACACAGCTGTTCAAGTATGCTTAATTGCATTTTAAGGTAAATACCTATGTACTGTTTATTTAAATGAATGCGTAACCGAATTTGGGCATAATATAAAAAACATAATATTTCAAGATTGAATCCTTCCCGATTCAGAAAAGTGTTTATAAGTCGATCCAAAAATGATTTTCGATTTATTGAGATTGCTTTTTCCGGTTTTTCGCTTCTCAACTTGCACACTGACAATATAAAGCTAACTGGCTTTGAAATAATTCATTTGATTAAATCAGCGAAGTAAAAACGTATTTAAATTAATGCGCTTATATGTAGTCTTAAAGAAAAATAATAATAAATAGTAATGCAAATTGAAAAGCTATAATACTCCGTCTTCAACAGAGTTGCTCGGTTATCAAAACTAATAATTATAATTATGTTACATACAAATGCATTTGCTAACGGCCAACATCTTTAGCTTGCTATTCGATACGCATTTGCGCTAGTTACTTATTACGTAAACTTAGCATTGGAGTGCTACTTGCTAATATGCTGCAAATATATTGCTAAATATTATTATTTTTAATTATCTTACGTTTTTGAGCTTAGAAACGCTTCAACGCAAATGTACGCTTCAAATATAGACAAATAGCTCGATGTATTAATTCATACTGCTCCGAATTTTGTACCATTCCACCGCGTTGAAGACGCAGATTGCAGACAATACCCAGCACATCGACAAAAATATCGGGAATTTTTGGTAAATCATTTATAGCTGGCAACGACCAAGGTAACGACTCCGCTTCAGCTGTTAATCCCTCAATTTCGTGGTTATCCTTATGCTCAGCGTCGTCACTTTGTTGCTGCTGTCTTCGTCTCAGTATGTAATTAATGTAGTAGAGCGTGTTGCGTGTGAAACTGCTCTCAGTGTCGATTACGTTCGGCGTTATAATAGCGCGCTGCGCTTCTGTCACGAACCGGACAGGCAATTCAAAATCAACAGGGCTGAGGAGTGTTTGTGCGTCTAATTCGCCGCCAGCGCCAGCGCTGCTCTCCTGTCTTTTGCTTGCCTCTGCGGCCATTGTAGTTAGTGAATAGGCGAATGATTGTCGTAGCTGACGAACAGCATTTAGTATGGCTGTTAGGCATCCAGTGCGTCCGATGCCTGCAGAGCAATGTATGACTGGCAGTGGCTGCATGGCATTAAATATATCCTGTTGATACAAATCTACCGATTGTGCTGCAATATGCGAAACATGCATTGACTGCGGTTGTAGCACCGAAATAACGTCATTGTCGTCATCGTCTATTTCGAAGGAATCAAATTCCGACTCGCATTTGCCAAGATTAAGTATGTGTAAACAAATGTCGAGCAATGTATTGATGTCGCGTGGTGAGCGGTGGTCAGGCCAATCGGGATACCAATAATGATAACAGTACAAACGATTGATTAGCAATTTGGTATTGCGATTGCCAGCACTGGACTCCTCAGTATTAGCGCCGACATTGATGCAATACAAAATGACCAGTTTACGTATCGAGAAACCGTTCTTACGTACGATTCCAATGTTTTTGATAACGAAGTAATTGCCACGCATCGATGGTAGAAATGGTTGCAGTTCCTCGCTAACTTCGGCCTGATAGTATTCGATGCCAATGTGTGATTCAGGCTCTGTACCGCCATCAGCCAAGTTTAGCGGAGGTGGAGTACTTTCGTTTGGCAACAAATATGCGTTAAAAAAATCCGCCGCCGCTGCAGTGGGTGCAACGAACTCTTGCCAACTGGTCGTTACGAATATTTCGTTTAGATCGATGGGAAAATAGACGGCACATTTTTGTCGATTATTTTCGGCGAAATTCGTGAGCATTATGACTTTTTGATAATATTGTATTGTTCCCGCTTTATTATCGGTGGTTTGAAAATATCGACGAGTATTCTGGTATACCATTAGCCAGAATTCGAATATCGTGTTCGGCAAGGGCCCCTGCGTGGCCACATAACACTTTGATGTGTAGTCCGGACCCTACGAGATACAAACATTAATATTATAAAAACAAATTTAAATTACACTAACCAACCTTTATGTAATTTGCATTGATATAGGGAACTTCGTCGGATATGTGTAGTTGCCGTGATATGTGTTCGGCTAGGTCTGCATGTTCTTCTCGAATATCTTCGACCAATTCAGCCAGCTGTTTCCCTTCTTTCTCCAGCAACACGCGCGAGTTTTCATTTGGTAAAATTGTTTTGTAGCGATTCTTAGCCTGCGAGCCAAATACCATCGGTTTCTCTTGGTGATTCAACGGAAGATCCCAAAACTCCTTATGCAAATCGCAGAAGATTCGCTTTTGCTCATCATCGTCTGGTCGTATCGTTGTGAGCACCGACTCTACAGCTGCCAAATAACGCTCAACCACTTCGCAGTCTTCAGAAGTAGCTACTCGTATGCCCGGTGGTGTTTCAGCCTCTTTATTGGCGCGCACACTTAACATTGGCACCGCTTGTTCCGCTAAGCCTTTGTTATGGGACGCATAGCTGTTGTCGAAAATGTAATTCAGTTTAATTAAATCAAGCTGATTAAGTGCATTGGAAGCATTCTGTAGCATCTGTATATTGGCTAAGTAGATTTTGAACTCTTCACTAGTACTCTGCGGAGACAACGGACGCGTCATAATGTTTCGTACACCAGTGCATGAACACACAGTGCTATCCTGAAAATTGAAGCTATCACGCCGCAACTCGCCCAATTGTTGTTGGCTGCCAGTGCCAGCGCCAACGCCACCGTTAACGCCACAGTCCAAAGACATACTGGCGCTTGGCTTAAGATCTGATACTGAACCAAAACACACTTGCTTAGCGTTTCGTCGGTGAGCTTGATTCAAATCTGCAAAGGGTGTGGAACCGCGATTCAGACTTTCGCTACTGAAAAATCTCCTATGCGGTGTGGGCGGTGCACAGCAGGATGGCTTCGATTGTAATGCACTCATATCGCATTCCTCGGCACATGCGTCACCCAAAAAGAGACTACTGCTAGCGTGCACTTGTCTTTCGGTGCCAATTCCGCCAAATGAACTACCCATGTTCAATGTGAGGCTCTGATTGGAGCCGCGTCTTTCCAAAAGCCCACGCTTTGTCGTAGCATTACTCGTGGTGTTCTGAGTTTGTGTGATAAATGAAGAAGTGCGTGTAACCTTATTCAGCGAATGTTGGCTGGCGTATGTGTTGAGATTTCCGCATGAGGCTGCTGTTAGACTTGTTAGCGTAAGACTTTGATTGGAGCCGCGTCGTCGGAAGAGGCTCTGTTTGGCACCTTGTGTCGGTGTAGCGTGAGCATGTGGCTGTGTAATAATGGGCGCACCACTTAAATCTATATTGCAACTTGATTTCGAATTTAAGTTTGTTGTGGAATTACTAACGGCGGGACCAAGACTATAGTTAGATACACTTAAGCCGCTGCGACAATTACCAAGTAAATTACTGCACGAACCGTGCAGATTCAGTGTTAGGCTATGATTGGAACCACGACGCTGTAGCAAATTAGTGGAAGAAGCTGATGAAATCGGTTTAGCGCGCATCGTACTGCTGGGCAACTCCATAGACTTTTGTTTATGCGGTTGATGTGTACTAGATGCATTCGTCGTTGTGGAAAATTCGACTAATGTTAGGAATTCAGGAAGAGTTTTTAAATTCGTATTTGATGCGTGTAACATGGCGTTATGCTTATGGATACCGCGATGTGGTGTGAGAGACAGCGTTGGTGCTGACAGCAATGTGTTGTTATTACCTGTCCTTCCTCCATTGTCGGTCTCTTCCTGTAGAACGACCACCGTGTCGACATCGACTTGCGAGTGTTCAGTTAACTCAGATTCTCCTGCAACAGTAGCATAAACGTCGGCAGAGTTTCGATTGCGATGATAGGCCGCCAACCATTCAGTAGACGTATTGCTGCTCATGCTACCACCGCCGGGTAAACGACGACGCGGTGTCCGAGGAAAACTACTACCGCTCAGTGGTGTTTTTAATGAAGACGTAGTACTACTTGGACATAGGGATTGAGTTTGACGATGGCCATGTGTAGCAATTATACCATCGCCAAGCAGTGCCAATTGTGACAGTGAGGTGGAACGATTGCTTGCGGCCGCCGATGGAATTCGCAAAGAGCGATCACCAGTAATACGCTCAAAACGCGCGCCACTCACGCTACGTGGCATAAATTGTTGCAGCGGAAGATAGCCACGGGGGAGCGTTTGAGCATCAATCTCATCACAACTAGCATGAGAACTGTTTCGCCCACCAGATGAAACTATAATTGTTAGTTCTGTTTCCTTTGCTGCTGAGTCAAGTGACAGTGCTTTCTCTTTGGTATTTTTGATAGTTGGTGTTTTTGGCTTTGACGAAGGAGAAGGAGAGGTCGGTACGGTCCCACTTGGTCCCATTATAGTACAGGGCACATCAGTAATTTTTATAGTCAAATTATTCTTATTTTTCCGATTTTTCTTACCATCAGCTGCAGTTGAAGATATTGCACTTGGCTTTGTGGACGTTGAAGTTGTCGATGTATCGTTTCGCGCTTGCTCTTGACCAATGCTATTTAAACATGTATTTAAATTACTATTAGAGGAAACTGATTTTTGGCGTTCTTTACTGGTTCCATTGCTCCGTTGTCTGCTGCTTCGAGTTTGTTGATTGTCACATACACAAGCGGAGGTATCCTCAGTTGGTAGATCAGAAGATTGCTCATGTACCACTTGATCAATCTCTGGAAATTTAAAGTAGTTGCCATTTTTATATCCCGCAGAACTAATTAAGCCAAGTGGAGAACCAGTTAAATTCAGATTATTTAACGATGCCAACAATTTGGGGGAACAAGGCAGCCGAGTGCTACTGCTGCTACCGCCAGCCGTACTAATATCGTGTATCTTTGGTGAAACTGCATCAGACTCCAATAGGGCAATTGGAGAACTATTGCCACTATTTGAACGTAGATGCGGATCTCTCCTTTCCGTCATAGCCATTCCTGATCTATATAAAGGTTTAGCATTCTCTTTATCTGCCATGGCGGCCACACATTCTGTACTGCTATCCATAGAAGCTGACACCGCATTTTTTATTAAAAGCTGTTGCGGCGAACACGATCTTCTTTCGTATAGAGAAAATCGTCTTAATTTTCGCGACACCACCGGCGAGGTACTGTTGGATAACTGTTGCCTAGCTCCTGCCAATGAACGTGACGTAGCGGCGTGAGTTGGCGTGGGAGTTTTTCTTTGTAAAACAATTTCCGTTTGTTCGGACGCAGGTGGCGATGAACAATGCAACTCCACAATATCTTCCATGTGTTCCAATTTTGTGGGCGAAGGAAACTCAAAGGTACCATGGATAAATTCTAATGGCGTGTAATAGGGCGTGCTCTTGTTGCTACTAATATCATCATAGTCCGTTGGCACATCGGCTATAGGTGGTGTGTATTCAAAAAAGGATCCACGTGGCTGCTCTGAAGGAACTGGTGTCACGCATTTACTATTACTACTCATTTTTACAGCAGAAACAGAAGCTCCATGTTGATGTTGTTGTTGCAACGTTGTTGTTGGTCGATTGTTGTTTTTAAAATTTTCCATATTATTATTACAGTGTAATAAAATATGTTGTTAGGCTTTTCTATTTATTAGCGACGATTCCTAATATCTTTGCCACTATAGTTGTTCGAATATCAAAGAGGTCAGAACTTATAGCTGTAAGAATATTAGAAAATTTTAGTAAACAATAAACAATAAGACGAAGAAAAATTGGATATTATACTAATTATGAATGTCCATCTCTTTTTCAATACCCCTTTTTACTCTTTTAATTAATTAATTAACATTTCAAACATTAGATCTCAAAAATAAAATAAAGTAAATACTCAAGGCCAAAAATACACAATCGAAAAACCAAATAAACAGACCCCATTAGACCGATTTTAAGTATCTAACACCAGTGGCAGATTTATTAACAAAACGTAAAAAAATGTTTGTTAACATTAAAAATTGTTGTTTTGAGTGTGGTCTTCTCTATGGATTTAATAATGTTTTTAAATGAGGAAAATATTTTTGTAGCCCAGCATATACACTATTATAAACAAAGTGAGCTCCTCATATTCGGTGAGTACACGGTTTAATTGAACTTGTCTGATTTTCGATATTACATTTGTATCAATCAAAAGTGTTCTTTTTTAGGATATTGTAGAAATTCGATCAGCAACAACATATTTTCGTTCTTTCATTTTGCATGATGGGGTGTCTGCATTAAAGTTAAACACGCATAAATAACACAATATCATGCCTACATAAACAATCCGTTACATATTTCATGGATATTGTTCTTTTTATATAAATATTAGCCTAGTTACCTTCAAAGTGGAACCGTAGTGGAGCCATAAAAGCTAATGACTAGCACACATCATCTTGTGCAGTGTACCGGAAGGACTTTCACCAATCACAATTACCTATCACATATGCGTTCATATGCATATACCTAATCTATTATTATTTATTTCTATTTTTACATAAGGGTGAGAGGAAATAGGCACGTTATTGCTCCATACAGTTTACAACTTCTTTTTCGTTCAGATTTTATTTCTATTTTCGCATTTTCTATTTCTGTTTAGGTATATATTTTTTGTGTTGCTTTCTACGTTGTACATTTAAACTAAGCCACATCTGCACTTGCATACTGCCTATCGATTGTTTTGTACGCCATAAATTGAAAACATATCTGTATATTTACTATTTAATACCCATTATTTGATTTAATCCAGGCGCTTCATAAGCAGGACAATTGGTTTCCATGTTGAAGTTAATTGAAAACACATTTGGAGATCTCAGTGTTGCACTTTTCCAATTGTGAATCTCTTCACATTTCCTCTATGTTTGTTACAAGTGCCAAGAAAGGTTGTCGTGTGGATATGTTATTTGCATAAATTAACACCAAAAAAATTGATTGAGTAGTCTGTATTTATGAAATTTTTCTTATTTTTGAATGGCGTACTGAAAAACGGCAGGAGCGAAAAATCACTAATATACACAATAGTGAACTAAATTTCGGGTGCACAGAATATCTAGATACAAATTGCAGAGTTGCCAAGGTTGTCTTATGATTGTATCTGTAACTTGACAGTTTTGCTCTAGTATGGTAACTAGAGTTAGTCGGCTCATTAACCGAATCAACATCGGTTACTATTGAGAAATGCATGAATACAAAAGTATGATGAGTAAAGAAATATTAGTTTAAAAGTTATATACAATCATACAATGTATATTTAACTCAAGTGGTTAGTATTTGCAGATTCTCAAGCAAATGAAATTCCAAGTCAGAAAGTAAATAACAAATCCATTTTCAATAATATATCTATATTCGGTTCATAAATTTTGTTACTTATTATATATGAAATCAAGTCTATAGGGCTTAATTATATATTTGATAAATTAAAGTTATATCTGTGTACATCTCTTATGAATGAAGTTTTTCTAATGTTATTAAATTTGTATGTACTTAATAAAATACTTATCAATTTCGTATAAAAACAGGAATCTATTTTATTTGAGTGTATTAAAAATACTTTTTTTTCGAGAATTTGAAACTACAACCCTGTTCTTTATCTGCAGATACAAGTGCATTTTTTTGTTTAATATCACAGATTTAGAAATTAATTTGCTACGCTAAATTCGCCAGCTGAAAGTCAATCTTTTTAAACATTTAAGGGTATGTAGTCGGTAATAACGATTCCTATTAAATGTAAACATATATTAACAAAGTTGAAACAATTCCGTCGGCAATAAAGTGAAAGCTTCACTGGAGGAGTTAGGAAATTGTATAGAGACCTTTGTAATGTTTGATAATTTGCACAGCTGAGTGTATTGAAAAATTTGTAAATAATAGAAAAACTGTGAAAAGATGATTCATCAACAGAATGGAATCGCGCAGCAATAAAAGCTAGGCCCTTCGGAATAAATGGATTTTTCCTACCTCCTAAACTGCACCGCATTCATGATTTTGAAAAAGTTAATCCAATATGATTTTGTTTACATACGTAGATGCATATAAACTGGACACAAATGATATTAGAACCGTTTTTGAAAAGGTGCTGTAGGTGTGATATTTATGCCTACATGGATGCGGGGGCTGACTGCTGGACTTATTGATGAATTTATAGGCACATAGTACAATGTGATGCGGATGGAATATTTTTTTTATTGTACATATACCTAAATATGTGTAAATAGTTTGCAAAACTGATTAACATCTGTTATGACTTACAAAAGAATAAATTAAGAACTTTTGGCAATTATTCTGAGTTTTTAAATTACTACCATTCAAATATCACAAGCGGCCGAAATTCTGCAATCATTGCGTTGTGTTCCGATGTGATGCCCGATGTGTTAATTTGACGGTATTTCGATTCATAATCTCAGCTGCAATATCTTGTTTTTATTAATTGCTAAAAGATTTATGATGATAATTGCTTATTCCACAGGTTAGATGGCAACAACGAACTTAACATTGAAATGGATCTAGTGGATATAGACCAAGTTTTAGACAATTTGGAATTGCGAGAGGCCGCAGATGAACACAATAGATCTATATCCGCATTGATTACGACGACAGCACAAAATGATGCCGAATCGTCTAACCATCCGTCTAAAGGGGATAATGGATGTGCATTGGTTAGTTTAAATAGCTCTACTCACAAAAGTGGATTTGTAGGTGTCTCCCAGGTATTTAACAGCTTAGATGACTATCAAAAAAATGTAGAATCACTGGAGACTGCTCCGGCTCAGCGATATGATGAAGAGTGTCGTCTTATATCAGACGTAGCGAAGCCAAAACAGGATTTAGAGATGATTTCAAATGAAAATGAGTTTGTTGATGGTGTCATATCTGACAATTTGGCAACGAATCAAATGCAAGAAAACACATTCAATAATGATATGGTTGTGAAAACAATAGATGCGCGAAGTGATAGTAGCATAGCTCATAGCAAATTGTACGAGGTTGATGCAGAAGATGAAGAAGAGGCAAGTGACGACTTGCACAAATTTACTGAAAATAATAGACATCTTCGTAGAGTTGGTTATGAAGAGAATGAAATAGGTGATAACAGTCCACTGTCGTCAGACTCCTTGACCACTTCATCGTCATCGACATTCTCGTCAGGTCCATCTCCTGGTATTGTTTCCACTACTGACGAACACTCAGCTCCGCTAACCCCTGATGAAGAGTGCGCAAGTGAGGATCGGGATGCTTTATTGCCTATACATCCAAACGTAACTGAGCCAGATGATGAGGATGATGAGGAGCAGGGTGCAATGACAGATGAAGAGATAGTTGATGATGGAAAGGAGAGCGACTTATTGAGTGCACCGCAAGTTGAAAGTACAGGGGGAATAGAAGATATAGCTGTAGGTTTGTCATCCATATCATTGGCAACCGGAAATTCTCAACTTAATTTACCCACCGTATCATCGGTTTTGCAAAACGTATTGGAGGATTTGTCGGAGACTACGAGTAACTCGCCATTAAGCCAGCAGCGTGAAACTGGACAAATTGAAAATTCGGAAGTGAGTTGTGTAACTTTATTTTTATGTTAGTAAAAAAAACTCTATTTTTTATTTTTACTATCAATCATATAATGAAAACCGCGATATTCATATGTACATAAATATAAAAATTTCTTTAATATATTCCGTATATGATTATAGTCTACCCCTCTTGGTACCGATGATTTTAACAAAGCGAAACCTGCAGGTGAAGCAATTGATGAGAAAATTGCAGGCAAAAATCTTGAATATGATGTTCCGCCACCTAAACCGCTACCAATAAAAGTACTACAGCAACCTATAACATTTGGTTCAACCATGGACGAAATCTCTGATGCAGAACTGGATAGCATGTTACAGGAGATGGACATCGATGATGTTAGCGAGGCTGACGTTGTGCCTAAATTTAATGTTTCAATAAATCATAACTCTCCCCCTCAGCCGCAGTCAACAGCTATAATTACAAAAGAGGCTGAAAATGTTGTTGCATTTACGCCAACAAAGTCAACAACGAAAAACGTGGAATCAGATCTTCAATGCGACGTCAATGTTGCTAGTAGTACTAGCGTAGCAGGGAATAATGGCGCTGAGGTGGCAGAGGGCTGTGTCAGTAGTGATTGTCTTAATGCGGACAGTTTTTCACAGGCATCCACTGTTGAGTTTTCTGAATTACGTGCGCATTCCGCAGCAGCAGCGCATGTTGACACGAATATGATGCCATCATCTAATTCCGTTGCATCTTCGTATACTGGTTCGGAGTGTTCCTTAGAGGGAGGCGTCATTGGGGGCGAACGAATCAGCGACGAAGAAGTTACAACCAATACCGTCGATTATTTAGTTAAAAATTCTGCGGAAAATACAGACGATGAAAGTGGTAGTACAGATGAGGGTGCTTACAGTGAAGGTGCTGCACAACGACCACAACGCCCAACATCACTTAATTTGCCTACGATACAGTCTAACTTATATGAAAATGCAGGTCAAACGCCACCCGGCACACAAACAATGCAAAATACAACGATGCACATGGAGAATACCAATACAAATGCGCCAAATGCAAGTGGTACGAATTCAACTCCAATCGGTTCGCCAGAAGAGGAAATCGGCGCCATTAACGAAGTGGCTGAGGCCACAGGTTACAGTGATCCATACGCGAATCTAGGTAAAGTGCCTCCAATTTGGGTGCCAGACAATATGGCTACCGGTTGCATGCAGTGCCACGCTAAATTCACCATGATTAAACGACGTCACCACTGTCGTGCTTGCGGCAAAGTACTTTGCTCCGTTTGTTGTTCTCAAAAATTCAAATTGGAGTTTCTCAGTAGCACCGCCGAATCACGTGTTTGCTTACAATGTTTTCTTATACTTAACCAAAGGCAACAGGGTGGCGGCGCAATTGGTAGTGAGGTCAATGCTGGCGTGGATAATGATGTTGCATCAGCAGCAGCTGCAAATACCAATGTAACAGCTGATCAAACAGAAGGCCAAGTGCGTTCACCAAATCCGAATAATCCCATGGAGTACTGTTCCACCATACCGCCCTACCGGCAGGTGAATACACAGAACATACAGCCGCCATCGGTTATTGTGCCAGTAGGTGTGCTTAAAAAAGAAGGCAGTAGCTATTCTTCGAATTCATCGAACGGCGGTGGTGATGGCGCCAAAAAAACTCGCAAGCGGAAAAGCGTTATGTTTAGTGATGGAATAGCGCCCGGCAGTGACTTGGCTAGCATGGAGCATCAGTGGACAGAAGCGAAACATGCGCGACGTGGAGCGCATCAGCAGAGTGATAAATCAAGGGGCAGCAGCGGTGCAGTCAATAAACCACCTACACCGGTGCGCACACAACCCAGCGCAAGCAGTAGTAATAGTGATGCAACAACAATGGGATTAGTGGCATCGCTGTTCCGTGGCTCCATACCACCAATGGCTGCGGCGGCAACAATGGCAGCAGTGCAAGACGATGATAAAGGTGAGAACGAAACGAAATATGAAATTTGAGCTTGTGCTTACATGTTTCGCCATTTTCCATAGAATCTACGAAATCAGTAACAAATAAAACGAAAAGCTCCAATAGTAGCAGTAAGGTAGCAGAAGCGGCTGCAATTTCGCGACCCAAACGTCTGCCACCTTCGGGTAGCGACGAAAATGGCTGCTTCATTCCAGCGGGTGACAATAACACTTTGCCACCAATTTATGTGCGCAAAGACGAAAGCAACTGTGATTTTGACTTCAAGGAAGTGCAGAACAACCAGGAACTCGTGGAGCGGCTCCGAAGCGAAACGCTTAGATTTGCATTGGAAAAGAATTTGTTCGTAGATGTGAAAATATTAAATCGTAAGTAAAAATAGTTTTAGTTTCGAGAAGTGCCTAAATTTATTTTTTCAATATACAGTAAAATGCTGCATGAATCGCACCGTTATCAACTTCAGCACATGTGGCATGCATCATGTTGGTAACGATGAACTTATTATTCTATTGGAACTTGAACCACAATCGACTAACTCGTTGATCAGTAAAGACACTACTGCGTCGCCAATACCAAAGGACATCTTTGTTCATCTATATGAGATTTATCGTGATGCCGAGTTGGGCAATCCAATTGCCGAACTGTCTTATACTAGCCCACGATCGAGTAATTTTCTGGGAACGCGTGATTATGGTGGTTTCATCTTCATACGCGCTACATTTCAATGTTTGCAAGATGTATTAGTGCCGGAGCAGCCTTTTCTCATAGGCATACTCATACATCGCTATGAAGTGCCGTGGGCCAAAGTATTTCCACTACGCTTAATGTTGCGATTGGGCGCGCAATATCGCTACTATCCCTGCCCGCACATCTCTATACGTAATCGCGAATCAGTTTATGCCGAAATAGCGCAGACTATAATCAATTTCCTGGCGGTGAGTAAGATTGTTGTCTATGCGTCAATTTTTTTTGTGGGTGTGCAACATTTGTTTATCTATTTCAGGATTTTCGCAATTATTCATATACATTGCCATGTATAAAGGGCATGTACATACATATGGAGGATAGACAAACGACGGTAATGATACCACGAAATCGACAGGATGACGTCATTAAAGCAATTAAAAATGCCAGCGATCATATATTAGCGTTTGGTGGAAACTTTTCGAAAACTGCGGACGGACATCTGGTGTGCATGCAAAACGTCAATGACATGGGCACCGAAATGTATGCATATTCAACGCAAGCTATCAATATACAAGGGCAGCCACGCAAAGGTGAGACGAGGCAAAGTGAATGCTCGCATTTATATTTAAATAAACAAAAGCAGGACGCTTAAGGTTATATTAATTAAATATTTTACCCATTTATGTAATAATTTATTTATATACATACATCATTTTATTCGTATAATTAATTTTATAAAAAATTGTATGATATAATTTTTTTATAAAACTTTTATATAGTTTTGTTTTTTTTAATATAATTTATGTTTTTCGTCGTAGAAATACTTATAAATCTTGTTAATAATCATTATTAAATTCTTGTTGTTGTAAAATGTTTATTTAATTAAGCTTTTCATTTGTGATATTCTATTTCCATTAAAAGTGACTGGCGCTAGTTTCTTCGTGTTAAACGAGTCTTTGAAAAGTACGAGTGGTCTCTCTGGCAAATGTAGCATCGTCGAAGATGGATTGATGGTGCAAATATTACCAAGTAAAATGGAAGAAATACGAAATTCCCTACAAAATCAAAAAGATGTGGAAATAATATGCGGTCCGGTGGACGCCGATGATCAGCAAACTGAGGTTGTGAGCATCAAATGGGTGGAGAATGACACAGATTTTAATGTTGGGTAAATTTCTAAAAACTACAATAAAATAGCTGAATTAAATTCATAAATGTCAATTTTCAGCGTCAAATCACCCATTGATGAAAAATCAATGGAAGGCATTTCCAGTATGCGTGTGCACGATAGTTTCAACTACGCGAATGCAAACTACGCTATACGACTTACAGATATTTATATGCTTAAAGTGAGTAGTAACATTTTGCTAATAAAGTGTGCATAATAAATATTTATACACACGATTTGGAACAGTATGACGAGTGGTACACATCTGCGCAGTCTGCCTTGGCAGCCACTTCCATGGACATCACGCGGATGGCAGGACAAATTGCGCGCAGTGCATGTGTCGCATTGGTGCCCTTTCTTGATTTGCTCGTAGCAAGTTGCAGCCGAAAGCTAGCTTTGCGTGCAACACTCCATCAAGAGAATGTAAATTCTAAAGATAAACAAAAAATACTTATAATATTTCATGTATATGATTTGTAGGTTTGCTACGAGGCTGGCACACGCGGCAACAAGCTCCCTCCGCTTTATATGAACGCTTTGGACGACAATTTAATACCGACGTTACATGGCGAATCGTCTGGCATTGAGGATGCAATAATTTTAGAATTAGTTTTTTACATTTTAAATTGTTAGTCTATACTATATACTAAAGGGAATATTGGATAAGTGAGGCAGTATTGCATATAGTGGACAGGATCGCAACTCTACGCTGTATTACTATAACTGATCGATAAAGTTAGCGTTATGTCTTGAAGTAGCATAACATCCATAAATTCGTAAATTGTGAAAGTAGGCCGGCCAAAAGACCTTGTTACTTTACTCTTGCTATGGCTTAGCTATGATCAAAATATACGAGTGGCAACTAAGTTATGACAATTGGCAATATTATGGAACGTAGTTAAACAAATATTATCATTTAATCAGCGCTGAGACGTTTAGCATATACCATGGGTTCTGTTATCAATAAGGCTGCTTTAAAAGCTGATTTTGTTGGTATAGGGGGTCACACATACACTTGTATGTATATTGATTATACGTAGTTAAGATGGTTAGAGACCTTTTTTGTGTAATTTGTTTTTAGCGTAAAGATTAACATGTAACTAAACGAATTGTATCTTCATTTTATTTGAAATTTTAATTTCTTTACGACAAAATTTTATGAGAAATAAAGTACCTATCTTATTAGCAATTATATAAACAAACTATATTATACAATATTAAAAACACATGTGTACTTTCATTTATGGCTTTAAGCAAAAACTGAAATAATTTTTCTTGCAATTACAAATTCAACTCCTTGAGTGGCTGTATAACTATTCAAGGGATTTAGGTTTAGTTCACAACTGAGAACGAAACCCAAAGTGAAGCCAAATCTTGCACATGGAGCTTTCAAAAGCGGTGTATATCTCTTGTTGCTTTATTACCATCAATTGAAAGCAGACGCTGGAGAACCTGGATGTGCTAGATAAACATATCCTTTCATAAAGTTTGCACAGTTCAAGTTTGCCAATTTGGAAATGTAAACAAATTTTTAGCTCGAACCCTTCTCAACGAATGTTATCAACTCACCCTAGATTAGGTACGGTGTGCATGTCGAGAGATTTATTAAGTGATAAGTAACTTTAGTGCACGATTTTTTCCTCAGTCTTTAACAGCATTTAAGTGACAGACTTAGTGTGACAACCTAAAAAAATTTGATTTTTGTTTTGTAATTTAAAAAAAAAACTGCTGTAACAATTAAGTTCAAATTTTAAGAATATTATATATATATATATATATATGTTTTAAGAATACATAGTATAGTTTTGAAGAAAAAAATTAAATATTTTTGGAGTTACATGCGCTCTCCGACTGCGCTAAAGTAAACGTCTCTTCACTGCTGCAATGTCTCCGACTTTCTTCGTAGATGAAACCTAAAAAAAAAAACAAAATATCTTGTAGAAGATATATATACAGAACAAGCAGAAAAAATTTGATCGCAAATGAAATCGCATCATTTTTCATTTCACCTAGTAATCACTCAAGAAAATGTGAAAAATGTGCTGTTTCCAGAAAAAACGCATTTGAAAATAAACGATGAAAGGCTATAATTCAAAAACAATTTCAGATATCGTTTTAAAATTTTAGTCTGTTATTTTTAAAGATATAAACTATCGAAATATGAAAAAGATCCATGTTTTTCAATTTTTACTAGGTTTTGTTTTAGGACAAAAGTTGTTCGGCGTTGAATTTCAAAACTTAAACTTTTGTAACTCACCGATCAACTACTTTTGGTTCTTTTTCCATATCTAAAAACATACTGACAAATTCTAGTAAGAAGTGGAAATACGAGTGGTATTATTATTTGTATAATTCGATAGATATTGTATGTGAAACTTTTGTATTGGGCAGAGTACATCGAAGTTTCGACCCTATTTTGTATAATAGTATATTTTGGTATTCTAACAACTTCTCACCGCATATAATTGAATTTTGGTGGACTTTTGACCAACCGGTTGCTACTCGAAAGTCCATATATACTTGTAATATAATGTTAGCTCCATCATTTCGTGAAACATATTTCTTCATGTTACCGTTTAGAGTAGTGGTATCTCTATAAATTATGTAAATTATGAACATATGCTTTCCATTATTGAAATTATTCTACGAACCTTTTACTTTTGCAACGATCTTTATATCCACTAGAACAATAATTTCGTGATTAGAATTTTGAGCTTTTCATACTCATTTCTACCTCTCTTTCCTTTGCTTGAGAAATAATCTCGCTCCTCTTTTCAACGCACGAATTTCAGGTTAAGTTAGAATTTCGACTAATCAAAAAATCAACTCAACACTACTTAATTTGTAACTCGATGACAGTGGAGCTAACAGGTGTCATTAACGTATTGGTATCTTCAATATCGTTTTATGTTTCCTGAAACTTGATGTTTACGCGAACATTTGTCTAGCGTCTAGAGTTTAGACTAAAAAAAAAACTTCCAAGGAAAGAAATCAAAATTTTTTAAATAAACTTTATTTCACATTTTCTTCCATCCAATACAATATTTGCCATAAAAAATGCTTACACATATTGTACAAACTATAAATTTTTCATCAAAATCAGCATTGTTCATATGTACAACATAAACCACAATGTTAACATTTTACTTAAGTGTGTATTGTAGCATGTGAAAAAGTACAAAAGAAAATAAAATCATTAATTTAAAATGCGAATCACATTATTGACTATAAAAAGCGAATAATGATAAAAAATAACAAAACACAAATTGTTTGTAGACTTTTTATAGCTAAGTAGTACCTGTTCCTTGATTTTATTCTAGGTTTTGCTTTTTAATTGTGGAAAGTGGTAGATTCTTGCAACGCAGATATAAAAAAAATTGTTTGCAAATTTATTTAATTACATTTCTACGCCTGCTTGTAAAAATATTTGATGTATGTATGTACGTATGTATGTATTAACTCATTTTCCTACAATGCAATTTATTTATTGTTGTTGTTTAATAATTATTTGTAAATTTATGTACGTATATTTTTGTGAACGTATGTGCGCGTGTGTTTGTGTTCTTTGCGAATGTATGAGTGTGGGATGTAGCGATAGCTTTAGCCACCCATTAATATAACTACTATTGTACAAGTATATTTGGCAAGCTTGCCACCACACCCGAGTCGCAGTTGACTTAGAGTTCGTCGTGTTTGGGACCGGAGAACTCGTCGTGCGAGATGTAGCCGTTCTTGTCCTTGTCTTCGTGTTGGAAGATCTCCTCAACAAGTTTGTCGTTCTCCTTGAGCATGTTTTTCAGTTCCTCCGAGTCTTGACCTTCAACGGCGGTCATTTGTTTTTTCAGATATTCGCTGACCTGTTCAAACAGAAAAGAGAAAAAATTGTATTAATCTGTAAAGTTTGGATAATACTGCTAAATTATACATATGTTTATCATGTATAGGGTGCAAAATTATTGTAGAAATTAATATTAGTACATGCAGTTTGGAAAAGTGTTAGTACACTGGAGGTTGTGCCCATGCGAAAGGTACCCAAAAACAATAAAATTAATACATTTAATAAAGATATAGACATTTTACTGACCCCTTCTCCAAACTGGTTCGGTTGCGTCTAATCGAACAAAATACTTTATGCGAAACTTTAAATGCGTATTTCTCAGACCAGACTTTTTCAATACGATACCCACGTAACGAGTTCTACTAAACCGATTTACTTGAAATTTTCAGAGAATCTTCTTTATTGACCTCTCTCGAGTATGAACTAGCCTCATCCCCAAATACGAGAAAAAAATGATAAAAGATCGTTTTTTTTCAAACAGTCGCGATTTGGTCAAAAAAATTTTTTTTACTTATCGCTAGTTTATACAATTGCGACATCATTGCAGATTGATGATTTTTTTCAGATGACTAGGAGGATTGAAATCATGGGTATGTTCATGTGCCAATTTTTTGCGACCAATATAAAATATTGATTGACTTTTTGTTACAACACTTTAAAAATACCAAAAATTCATGTCTCTAGTTGTAATCTAATATGGAATATTTATAAGATTTTCGGGCCTATGGTCGCAAAAAAGTAACTTGAATTTCTCTTTAAAACTTAGACTTTAAGAATTGTAATGAAGAATAGTAATTGACTACTAACATAGACTTCTTAACTGGCAAAGAAATGTAATCAAAAATATTTAACTCGATTCAAAATATAGCAACAATTAAACATAGTTTTATGACGTCCGTTACTTTGGAGCCTTGTAGTTTCCCCAATCAGTAGGGTATTTTTACAGTAATATAAAGTTAGACTTAAATATATACCCATCTACTATATGCAGTGAAGGAAAGACGGCAAAGAGATCGAGAACGGTTCCATTCGGGTCTGGAGTTCTCAGAGGTTCCCGGCGCTCTGCAACAATGTTTTGCAGATTTTTTTCTCCAACAATTCACTACAATCATCTCCGAGCCCCGATTTTCTCTCTACCGCCCTGACTATATCTATGTATGTATATATAAGTATGTATAATTTACTAAGTCATCATCACCACCATCACCAATTCCATTGAACGTTCAACATAACGTCTTAATGTAACTAATTACGTGGTGAAGAAAGTGCGATCCATACATAAACGTTTACCTCATCACGGCTCAGCTGCTTGTCGCCGTTCTCGTCGATCTCCTTGAAGACATTGGTTGGTGGTGGAGTGTTTCCGATATTGATCAATTCGACTTCAAAGAAGAGTGTGGCCTTTGGTGGGATGACGTTTCCAGCACCACGATCACCATAACCCAACTCGGGTGGAATGACCAATTTACGTTTCTCGCCTGTGCAAATATGAACACATATATAAATTATTAAATATATAATATAATAAAAAAAAACAAAATATTGCTATAAAATAGAATTATTGTTATGGTTGAATATTATTTTGCACTCACCGACGCACATATCCAGTAAACCCTGGTCCCAGCCCTTTATCACTTGCCCAGCGCCAATTTGGAATGTGAAGGGTTGCTCGCGGTCAAAGCTGTAACGAAGACGGACAAAATGCATTGTTTGTTTAAAAATATTTAAAACAGTAAAATTAGAATAAAAAATTAGCAAAAAATAAAATGAAAAAGAATATGGTACTAACGGAAGAATACAAGTGTCTTGGTTTTAAAATATTTTTTTAGTTCTCTCTTGATACATATGTTCTTTTGTTGCTTAATCTAGCCTCTACTTAAAGTGAAAAATATCCTATTATTTTAAAAAAGAAAAAATTGGTAAATTTTTTCAAAACATATTCCAAATAAAAATTTTAATACCGTTATTTTGATTAACGTTTAATATCTATGCCTCAACCAATGAAATAATTCTTCATCAGCCTTATTCTGGAATTTACGATGTGAGAAAAAATTAATGACAACGAGTGGATTTGCACCTCTGGTTTGTGGAGTGCAACGGGAAAGGGTGAGTGATATGTGAGAGTGAGTGGTATGAAGCAGCTGTAAATACTTGTAGATGCGGGAGGTAGTGGCACATTCTCTGCCAGTCACACCAGGCATTCCAAGAAAATAAAATTGCCATTTGCTGCCAAGTTAGCGACACCATCGGCAGCCAAGACGATATCATAAGCGGAGGTGCATATTTGATAATAATTGAGTGCGATACACTCCATCAAACGGCGATATAAACACAATAACAACAGCATTGCGAAAAAACTAAGACATGGTGCTAATAAAAAATTGAAGAGAAAAGCGCGACAGGGAACAACTCGAAACCATCCTTCAAACACGGCAGTCTGCCAAGCGTCATGACTTTGGTGTGGGGCTGGTGAATGGTTGATGCCTCCCTTTCAGTTATAGCTTCTTAAGAATTTATGAAAAACAACCGTTATTGTGGTACCCCCACAACGATGTAGATATGATGAGTTTGCGGAAAACCAAATGTTGACATAATTTTCTGTTTTATAGAGTGAGAGCTGCTGAACTGATCAAATGAAAACTCGTTGCTTGAGGTATCAGAGAAGAAAATTAATTAAAACAATAAAATTTAAAAACTACATATGTATCTAAAAAATTTAATGGAAAGTTATGCTGTTATTATTTTTTTGAATTGTTTGCTAAAAATAAACATATCAAGAAGTGTTATAAAACACAAATAATTTTATGATTTAATTTTTTGCATTGAACACTATTTTTCTATGGAGATATTTGGCAGAACCTACTGCAGAAGATTCGAACTTGATATCTGGAATAATTCACCCTGCAAGTGGATACGAAGCAGGGCGCATACATATATAATAGTGAAATCTTTATAATCTAATTTAAGTTGATTATTCAAGAAATTTCTGTGTTCTGTATTTCAAAAATATACTTTAGAACTATATTGTGTAGTAGCGTTATGTCCACTTCCATGATAGCCGGCTATACGTTACCGGGATGGACCAGAATTTTTAATCGCTAACAACTGTAACATTACTCACATTTACTAGCGAATATTTTCTGCATAGTTAAGAACAACAATTAATGACATTAATTAGTTTTCCGAACGCCAGACTTTCAGTTGAACTGAATTGAAGGCAGCTTTAAAATCAACTATCAGAGAATGAGAATGCTAACTCAGTTAAAACTTTTCTGCTAAACTGTCAGCATGTTGCTGTTTTTTGGATGTTGTTGCTGTTTTGATATTGCAGAGGTTATCTTGAATTTTAAAGCGAAATAATATTGAGAATTGTTTGCACAGCTTAAGAATGGAAGCAACTCTTAGCTACAATGTGCAACAATAAACAATTTCCACTGTCAATACAGTCGGGGAGCAATTAGGAAATACAAGCTCCACACTTGTCTTTAGATTGTTAAAAAAAATATACTTGTATGATTTAAAAAATATGTAAAAACATAATAAATTCGAAGGAAAAAACGAAACTCCTCAACAACACTTTAATTTAGGTTGCAAGTTGTCTTTAGCAAGGCGGGAAATGCTGGCAGCCGTTGTTTTTGCCTCAACTTTGACAAGCAAAAAAGTTAGGTGAACTTTGCTGAAAAATGAAAACTACACCAGCGGGAATGCGTACGAACGACACCTTCGGTGTAAGTAAATAAAACTGCAATAAAAAATATTCTGAACAGCTATAATGGAGGCGCAGTTTTAAAAACCAAGCAACGATGGTAGATAATGACAATGGATATATTAAAAAAAATAAATAAAATAGAAACGAAAACTTTTTTATTTAAACTAAAGAACTGCTGTTTATACCCTTTAAAACTGTGCTGGGCATACGGAAGATTTTTTCTAATTTTTTTGAAACGTAGAATTATTTGAAATGAGCGATTAGAGAGACGCTTCAAATATATGAATATATAGATTATGCTTATAAAATTAGACTTTACAAAAAAAATATATATAATAAATTTCCTCACGAGTCACTTTGACACACTTATGGCAAACTCAAGTTAAACTCTAACCTTAATAATAATTTCGTTTAAACACAGTTTTTACTTTTAATAAATATGTAGCTTTATAGCTTTGCATATTCTCTGAAGATGACACCCAACCATACTTTAAATGTATATCTATGGTTATGTCGCAACATCTACAGCGCGCCACTCGGGACCGTTAAGTCGAATATGATTATCACGAGTGGTCCGCAGGCAGCGTGACTATCAACGCAAAGCTTACTTGCCGCTGTGACATCACTGTGCAGGAGCCAGCTACTTGCCACACACTTTTTGGCGTTCTTTGCTCACTTGCCGCTAGTTTCAGCTACTGCTTTTATTTGCTACTTTATCCGCTGCTGCTACTGGAGAGCGCTTAAATATTTTATTTGGCTCTCTTGGGCTTTGTAACAATTCAAAAATATTGTATTTGAATTTTGCATACAACTTGACTGCTGTTGTTGTAGCTTCGTGTGTATGCTTGTGCGTGTGTGTGTGTATGGTAACGCGCCTAAGTGTATGCTTCCCACGGTGATGCAGCTTTAGTGTCAAGCGCACATTATCCACCAAAATGCCGCGAAATTGTGGCGTATAAGTGCCATAACCTCCTCCTTCCCAAGACGTTAAGTACACAGCTATATGAACGGCGGTCTTAAGCATTCACATTTTATTTTTTCGCTGGCAAATCTCTTGGTGGCAAACAAGAAAAACATGCCAAAATACAAATTTACAGTTGTGTTGTACATTCGTTTGACATTCCACTCTAAAAACAAGCGGATTGTGCACACTTTGGCAGGGTTGCATGTATCACCGTGCGAATTTTTATTACACCATTCGACGTGAATTTCGAGTGTAATGTGTATGTTCGTATGTATGTGTGTGCGTGTGTAGATACGATTTTTTTTACAGCGTAGGTGAGAGCAAATCATTCGCATGTTTTAAGTGACGGTGTACAATTTGAGTTACTTAAATATGCAAGTGTGCGCCTTTACATGTTTACCGTTATTTTACGCTTGCATACATATGCACGTTTAGCTGTTCATGTGTTTAATAAAAGTGAATCGTATAAACGTAGATTTTATATTTTCAAATTTCAAATATGCTTCTGTACAAATGTTGCAATCTTTTCGACATCATCAACAAGGCTTAGCCGTCGTTTTAAAGCCGCGCTGATCCCCATAGATTTATGATTTAGGCTAGATAATTGTTATTTTCGCGACGTGTTGCAAGTATAAATGTATCTGAATGTTCGTGTGTGCATAGTTATGTGTGTGCCGACACAATAATGCCTGCGCTTTGTGGATAACCGTAATAAGGTTATAAATAAAATTTAGAAATGCAAACAAATTGGTGTTAAACACAGCGATTTAGTTGATCATACGTTAGGTGAACGGGACATTTGATGTTGCACATATGATACACAATTTAGCAAAAATCGTGAAACATTTACAGATTTGAGCAAAGAGAAGGTTTGAAGAGAGCGAAAGAGAGATGCAAAAAAAAAATAATTGACTAATAACAATTTGATATTTCCTTCTTTAATTCGCTTGAATTCACTTGTTTTGATATAAACTATGGATATGTCTACCCATAAACATACGCTTTCAGACTTTTGGATCAACGATTATTAGATAATTACAAAATTCAAACTTATTATCGATATTTGTCAAAACGTTTCTTCTGCTGAATGCATTGAGCATAATTTGCATACCAAAAATATTCGCGTTTATTAAAAATTGTCAGTGGAAATATTACCATTTACAGAATAAATATTTTCATAATATTTTGCGATCACATCTAGAATTCAAGCAATCTGAAATAACACTTAACTCAACACTTGACGTCACTGTTCGAAGCACAGATTTTTTGCGCCAATAATAATTAAACTTACAGAAATATTCAACTATATCAAAAATCAATATTCCGTGCAACGGAAATAAGCTATCGTCCAAGCGGTGTGGTAGTGATCCAAAGGGACCAACTGAGTTTCTGGCTGAGCGCACCTGTTCTACTTCATAATTTTAAACAGAGCTTCACGAAGTAATTATCAATACATACATTTTTTCAGCTTTAAAAACAGCTCTCACTCAAATAAATTTGTTTTCTCTTAAAATGCAGTAAACCGTACCGTGCATGTAAAATGAGGTAAACGAACCTACCAGAGATAATTGATTTTGGACATTATTTAGGATCTACTCATAAATGATTTAGAGAACCGCTAATATTGAACCACTATATGACTAGCTGCCACACAAACAGATCTATCGAAATCAAGTTCGTATATGGAAAACTTTTCTTATTTCACAAGATATTATCACGAAATTTGGAATGAGCTATTTTGCAGGTTGTTTATGTCAAACAACTTGGCTAGAAAGAGCTAGCAAAATGTTTTCCATTCGATGCAAACCCTTAGTCGGACATAGTTGCCATAAGAAGTGCACTTCTAAAGAGTATTTTAACTAAGTTACTATTTTTCTTGTCTGATACCGATTTGAACAATTTTGGAAATAATAATTTGCGTAAGCCTCAATTGTAAAAGCGCCTAACCTAATGAATAGTGCTTCAAAACGTGCTTTAATCAATCTGAAGGAGCTCAAGTTATTCAGAA